TAAGAATGTAAATAAGTTCTCACTATGACATATTGCAATAAACATTTTATGATGTAATAGTTTCAGGAAGCTAAACATAGCTATACAAACCAGGAGAGAATAAAAATAGCACAAAATCATAATTCTCAAGAGATATTATTCAACCATACAAACGCCCTGGATTGAAATCTTGCACATGATATCTCTCTGCACACAGAGGCTTATTTCCAATCAATTTCTCAGAAACAATCTATGACTAACTTTTACTTTTAAGACTGGAAACCATCTACTAATCTGATAAAGACTATTTTCTCTGGTATGAATTTATTTTATTACAAAAGTTTCTAGAGGATAGGCTATTTCTAAAAACCCATTTAAAGATTTAAAGAGTGAATATTAATAAAAATATGTCCATAGTCCTAATTTCAAAATATAACATACCCCTCTAAAAATGGAGTTTCTACTTCTCTCTTCATATTAAGAACTCATCAACTGGGGAAACAAAAAGAAAAACAACTCACTAGTGTTGGAAGCTAACCAATTTGTCTGCAAATATATTTATTATGGACAATATGCTATCTGTTACATATGTTTTATATTATACAACTGGAACCCTTGTACACACATGTGCACATATACACATATGTATTAGGCTCATTCCCATTGAGTTGACTTTTACTCAAAAATGACAGTATTCAAATTTCTATCTTTCTTTCCACCATCATGTAATATCCCTTCTGTAAATTTCTCTTCTAACCTTTTCCTCACATGATCTTCAAAGTTGTTTGCATCTCCCTTCCCTTTCTCTTCCATCTCAGCCTTTTATTGTATAGATTAGTTTAGTGTCTTTAGCTTTTGTTTAGCTACTCCCAAGACACAGATTCTATAAATAGTCGAGGGAATTGACTCAGAGGGAAAAAATATCTTACCCGTGAAAGGATGGAGAAGAATGGGTACAATTATAAACACTTGTCAATCAACATCTCTTCTTTGATCTGTCATTTGATATTATATATGTCCAGATCACAGTAGTTATTTTTCCTTTTTTCTTCAACCCTACATTTTCTTATAAGGGACCTAAGATTGCTCACTTTAGCTATCTGTATTACCCAGAAAAAAACCTTAGCTCCCAGGGAGATGTGATTCATTTTGTCTTGTGCGTAGGTTCATTTTCTGAATCTGAGTCAGAGAATTTAAAACCCTTTTTTATATCCACTGGGATATACCTTGGGGCTTTACCACTGTGTCTGTTTGAATGCACTCCATAGTAAGGCATGGACTGCTAACCAAGAGACTGGAGATTGATTCATTCAGACATGCTCAGAAGAAAGGGATACACTTGCAAAATTCACCCACTGAAAACTGTATGGAACACAGTTCTACTTTGACACACAAGGGGTTGATCTTTGCTTCCCAAAGCGCCCAGTCCCCACTGCCTAAACCATTCACTGTTGCATTCAAGACACACATTTCCCTTTCTATCTTATTTAGCAAGTGTTGTTATAAAAGAGATACCATAAGTGGATGACTTTAACAAGCAGAATTTTATTCTCTCATATTTTAGGGTGACAAAAGTTTGAATTCATAGTGCCAGCTCTTCAAAAAGATCTTCTCTCTGTTAGTTAACTTTTTAGAAGGATGGTCCTTGTCTTTTAGCATCTAGTGGCTCACAATACTTTGGATAACCCATGTTCCTTCCCATCACTCTTCCTCTGGGTCCAGAAGGCTCCCAGAACAAGGCTTGATTCTAAAGAACTTATACAAGTCCTAGCTCTTCTTTCTTTGAGATAGCAGGCCTTCATCCCTCTGCTTGCTTTTGCCTTTTGTAAGATAAAAGGTGTGGCATGCTACAGCCAGGGAACTCCCTTTATATGGAATGCAAGCAATGATTGGATGAAGGGTGCTGTATCTCACCTTTATCCTCCTGCATCAACAAGAAAACGTTTCCAGTGCGGCATCAGCTTGTTGCAACATGTTTTCAATTGATATTCCATCAATTCATGAAGCCTTGTTATTGCCTAATGCTTGAAACTTGAATATCTTTCTTAAATAGTGTTGGTTCTTTCTCATATGATATTTCTTGTAATGGTGGAATGTTGACTGTTGGTGGAATGTTCGTTTTGGTATGGTGACTTTGTGCATTCTTTCCATCTTCTATTGATGCTCCCTGCATCATTCAATATTTTGCCCATAGAATCTTTCAGTATTGCAACTGGAGACTTGGTTTTTCTTGAGTTATTTCCATTTCAGATCGGCCAAATTCATTCTTCCCTTTTGGTTTTCTCAATCTAAGCCTTTTCACAGTTCATTGTAATAGTTTAGAGTCTTGTAGAGTTGCTCTTTTAAGTCGTGTTTACCATTTGACAAAATTGTGTTTACCTTTCGACAAAAAATACAGTGCCATTTCTCTTGAGTGTCATTCCCAACATAGTAAACCATATTATTTTCAGATTCAGCATGGTCAATACTAGTTCATTTCAGCTCACTAATGAATGGGACACCAATCTTTATATGGTCCATTTCATTTTTTAAGGTTTCAAATTTTCCTAGATTCACACTGAGAACATTCCAAGTTCCAATTATTAATGTTTACAGCTATGCCTTCTCATTTTGAATGGTATCCCATCACAAAGAAGATTCCAAGGCTTACATTCCACAGGCTTTACTCCTTTCAGGTCCCCCTGGTCTACTCTACTTTGAGAAAGCAGCTTTTCCTCAATCACATTTAGAGTGCCATTGGACGCAGGGGCCCAATCTCTTGCACTATCTTTGACAATGCTCTGCTTCCATTCAATAAACTTTCAATGTTTCCATTTCTTATGCATCAGGATTTCAGCAGCGATTTCCTCCAAAGTGGGCAGCTAATTCTTTTTTGTTGTTGTCTGTTCTTAGTGTATATTTGCTTAAGTTTTCTCATATAGACTTTTAAATGATTGCATCTATGGTAAATGGTACTTGAACTAGAAACAAAAATTAGAGGTCTGTAGATAATTCCACACCTACTTCAAGCACTTAATGATATCCTTCCATTAGTTTTCTAAATTACATGTCAGCAAGCACATAAATGGAACTCATTTGAGCCCTGGCGACACTGTCAGATAAAAGTTGGATTGCTGTGTATGTTAGTCTGGGTTGACTAGAGAAATAAATTCATGGACACTGATATGTGTATAAGAGGGAGTTTTATATACAAGAACAATTGAATATTGAGAAAATATCCCAGCCCAGTCCAGGTCAAGTCCATAAATCTGATATTAACCCATATGTTCAACACCAATCTATAAAGTCCTCTTCAGACTCACGAAACACATGCAATGATGCTGGATGCAAGAAGATCACAGGCCAATGGGTGGGAAGTCTTATAGATCCAGTGGAATTGTAAGCATCTCAGTGCTGGCAGGGGTCTCCACGTGGCTTCTTCAGGTCGGGTTCTGGCTGCATCAGGGTAGGTCCACGTGGCTTCACCTCAGGGATGTCTCACAGGGAGTCAGCCTTGTCAGTAGAAAGTCTCCAAGAAAGTGAGCCAAGAGAGGGAGTCTGTCTCCCGCTTGCAAGGAAGAAATCCAGGAATTCCCAGAATCCTTAGGGGAAGGCCATCCCCACACAGAGGCCTCATTGCCTATATCTTGATTGACAGGCCAGACTCCACCCCTTCATTCATAGTCCTCTTAAATTGATCCCAGATTATGTAACTACCACACTATGCAAGGTTGGTAGTTCTGGCCTACTAGAGGCTTCGTGGGAGAAAGCTGAGGGTATCTACTGCCACAAAAATTTACAAAGTCTCAAAAACAAGAGTTGAAAATGACGCAGTAACAGTGGGTTTTTATTATTATGCTAGTTATATGGTACATTTACAAAAGATTAGGAGAAGACAAGTCAAGTAACCATATAAAAATCACAAAATCCAGCTTCTCGGATTATTTGCTTACTATACAGATTGAATAAATATGGTGAAAGGATAGAAACCTGATGCACACCTTTCCTGACTTAAAACCATGCAGTATTTGTTCCCTTGTTCTGCTCCCACAACTACTTCTTGAGCCACATGAGCAAAATGAAGGGTTCTAGAATTCCTATTCTTCTCAAGGCTATCAACCACTTGGGAATTTGTCATACTGTGGTGCCTTGTGTGTTGCTTTGATGTTGGAAGCTTTGTCACTGGTATTTTTAATGCCATCAGAGTCACCCCAAATGAATATTTCAGCAGAGCTTCCAGACTAGTAGTAACAGACTACAGAAAAGGAATGGCTGTTCACTTCAGAGGAAGTAGTTGCTGAAAGCATTATGCATAGCAAGTTCACATATACAAAGCCAGAAATAAAAGAAAAACAGAAATGCTTAAAACTATTTTTTATTTCTTCTAGTGTTCCTCATTTTGTAAATCAATAAAAGAAAAAGGAACTGCTTAAGTTTTTTATGTATTTATTTCTAAGACTGGAAATATAAACTCCAGAATGTGACTCGTGCTTATAGAATCAACAACCAATTACATTTCCAAGGATCAGATCCATAGGCATTCTGTCAGGGGCCACCTGCCTGCATTCAGGAGGTTCAGGAAGGTGGTTTCCTCACCATGTATGAATCAAGATTTATGTGACCTTCACAAAAATATGTAATGGCATATACCCATCAGATAAAATGCTGAATGAATGGAACACATCGATCAATAGATGTGGAAAAATATGGTAACAGACTATTAACCAACTTCAGGCAACACCCATATTGTCCCTCTCATTGCATCTCTTTCATTCATGTCAATGAAAATCTATAGAACTCTCTCACAAACCCTTGATACTTTATACATTATTATTATTTTGTGATGTCTTACACAGGGTGTGTGGAGGGAGGGGGAAATGAGGAGCTGATACCAAGGGCTCAAGTAGAAGGAAAATATTTTGAGAATGATGATGGCAACAAATATACAAATGTGCTTGACCCAATGGATGGATGGAAGGATTGTGACTAGAGTTGTAAGAGCCCCCAATAACATGATTTAAAATAAAAAAGAAAACTAATAAGTGCTTGCTTTAGTGGCACATATACTGAAACTGGAATGACACAGAGAAGATTGGCATGGCTCCTGTGTAATGATGACACGCAAATTCATGAAGTGTTCCATATATTTTTTAAAAAGATAAAGAAAACTAATAGGAGAATAAAAAGTATTTTGTATGTGTTAATAATAATAATAAATCTAAAGAGCTTTTAAATTTGATTTAAATATGTAGTTTCACTCCACAAAAACACACATCAAAACAAAATATTTCAGCTATTTACAAAATATTATTTATAAAACATTGTCATTATTTATACAATTTGTTTGGACACAGTAAAGTCCTTATTAAGACATATAGTATATAGGGATGAGGATGATAGGATTGTCTCTCACTGGTTTTAAAAAATTAGTCATTCATTGAGTGAATATTATTGAATTATGATTTTGTATGAGGCCTATATTAAATACACCAAAAATGTGTAGAATGAGTGTTATTGAGAAAGAAGTATGACCCTTGTTTTCTAACATATTGAAATCAAATTAATACAAAGAGAATTAAACAAAACCGATGAAAAATTAAGATTATAGATAAGAGACTACCAATTTTTAAATTAATTTTCTGATTTTTAAATATTAATTTGTAGGATATATATATATTCCAGAGTAGAACTTCTCCATAGGGGTTCCAAGATTGTAAAAACCAACTGCCATCTCTCCAACAAAGAGGCTGGGGTTCAAACCATTTACCTTTTGGCTAGCAGTCAAAAGTCAATTGTCAAATGTCAAAAGAAAATGGGATTTACTCAGAAAGAGCTTAGTGCTTTTTAATTGTATTGTGTTGAATCCATAGATGAATTTGGAGAAAATATTTTATTAATATTGTTTATTTTAATTCATAAATATAACAAGTTATATATTTAATTTCTTTAAATAATTATTTCTAATATTAGGCTTAAATATTTTAGAAAATTTTGTCAGCTTTCTCTTCCATGTGAAATATTAAATATTAAATAGTAACATTTAAAACTTTTAAAGTTCTTTTGTTGCAGACATCAAATAAGGTCTACTTTTGTTTACTGGATTTATGACTGTTAATAATACTGAACCCATTTAATAATTATAATCGTCACCTGCAAATTCTCTTGCATTTTTTTTCATTTTTAAAGGGAAGTTTTAGGTCCCTCTTGCTGTTTATACATCTGTTTCCTTTTTATGTCTTGTTAGACTGGCCAGACCACTAATAAAAGGTGGAAAATGCCTTCTAGTTAGTCATTCTTTCTCTGAATTTCAAAGGGAAGGCTTTCAGCATTTCACCATTAAAAATGATGTTTTTAAAATTTGAAAATTATCTACCTTTCAGATGGAAGAGGTTTCCATCTGTCTGTATTTAAAAAAATCATTAATAGATGTTTAACTATATTAAATCTTGCTGTGCATATATTGAAGTAATTACACTACAATTTTGTACTTTTAAAATTAATCTAGAAAATGATATGAACTGATAATTCATGCTAGAATCATTCCTAGACTAAACATCATTTGGCAGATCGTTATTTTATTCTTTGTTGTTTTTGTTGTTTGTCATTGAGTCGAGTTGAAGTCAAAGAAGCCCATGTGACAGAATAGAACTATACCTTGGGTGTTTTGACAGTAATTTTTCTGGAAGCAGGTCTTTCTCCGGAGGAGCCATTGGGTATGTTCAAACTTTAAACAATTCAATGAGCAATTGATCTTTTCACCATAAGCAACTAAATTGTGTTTGTTAATAGTCAATTTAGCACTTTTTAAAATCTATTTTTATGGAAGGTAGATTAGTAATTAATTTCTCTTTCTTGTATTGCCTTGTTATAATATAATTTCAAGTTAAGTCTGACCTCTTAAAAAGACATAAGAATTGCTTTCTCTTTTTAAAAAAAATTCTAAAAATGTGTTTAGTGATGCAGTTTCTGCCTTAAATATTTGAAAGTATCTATATTGATGCTACCTGCACAGCAAAGTTTTTTTGTGTGAAAGTTTTAATACTACATTCTATTGTTTTGATTTGTGTACTGTTAATTTTCTATTTGTGGTTAAAGGGAAATTCCTTTCTATGGCTCCTCTATTTGTAACTCACACCAAATGATTGGTGGGACACTGCTAGTGGGGTTTAATCGGTTTGGGTGGCCATTTCTCTGTGTATGAGAGCCATTTTAGAAGCAAAGAGAGAGAGAAAGAATTCCTGGGACTATCCAGGAAGAAGAAACAATGGTGGAGCACATTTGAAATTGATGTGGTGAACGTAGCCGAGGCCAGGCCTTGGCGAAGGAGATCATGAGCAGAGATCATGAGACAGAGATGAGCAGGGTGGGGATTATGAGACAATGAGTGAGACCAGGAGGAGCCCCTGGAGGAAGAGGCCCAGGGACCACGTGACTGAGAGGGTGAGAACAGGAGAGAGATACTTGGCTGCTGAATAAGGAAAGCTGTTACATCTTTAATGTAACATCTTTAATGTTAATGTAACATCAAAGGCTACATCTTTAATGTTTTCTGAACCGGCCTGTGTATCCTGTTAACTTCCCTAGTACACTTCCATCATTGTGAGTGTTTCTAACCCAGCAAAAAAGTAGCGTGTCATGGCTGGTGTCAGATCAGGGTAGCGAAAGATTGAGGGTGATCGTACGTCTGACGTCTGCCTGGACTGGTTTGGAGATGGATTCTCCTTCTGCGGTATGTAGTTAAAGGAAGTCAGATGGAGCCTCAGCTATATTGGCAAATTGTAGTCCTAGCAGTTTGTTCATTACATGTAGAGGTTATATATTGGCATAGAATGTCTTTAGAA